AATTTCCACATCTTATTTTCCATTATTTTTCTGTTTTCTTGGTTATTTTTGCTGCATTCATGTTTATCATATTCACATGAATTTATTTACAACAATTTTTTTTTTAATAAAACAAATGATTTTTTAAGTTATAGGTTGGGTTAGGTCCAACGCACGCATCACACGAGAGTTTGAGGTACGTGATTTGTATCCTATCAACCAATGGGATTTGGGAGCTATGCAGGCACAGCTGTATATTTCGCCGTCGTTGAATTTCTCTTGCGTTTTGCGTGATTGACGGAGCAGTTCTTCAGTGATTCTCATGCAATAGCGATGTTTCATGTGTAGCGAATTCGACCCGCTGTACAACATACACTATAGCATGCGTCAGCCACGTGGGCTAGCAGCGGATTGGAAAGGAAAGCCATGCTGCACCACTTGACCTATAGTTTAATTTGACGGGATACCTGCAGGTCACACGTGGGGGTCACATGACTGGGGTAAATACCGAATATTAGTAATAAGAAAAGCAGAGGGATAAGACAAGCTCTTTGTCTTATAAACGCGCACGTGTGTAGACTTGGCCCGCGGCACGTAATTGGGTGGGTCGTAAAAGGGGCGTGACCACGACCCACACTAGCAGCCACTGGGAACGCGTGTCCGGCGGCACGCATGAACAGAGATTAGCAGCGCATAACCGGCCAATGCCAGCGCACGGATTTTTAGCACGCTTGACAAGCGGGGCTGCGACCAATAGGAGAGAGGGAGGCTAAGACAATAGACACGGCGTCAGTATGTAAATCACTGTTTATGAAATTACGGTCGCTACTAGTTTGCAATCCAATCACCATACGTATCCATCGTTCGTACTGTGCTGTCATCGCTACCTACCTCAACGTTTACTATGCAAGTTCTGCTTTGTATGTCGCGTACACATCTGTACACGTTCGGTTATCGTACTATGTGCATTAAAGATGTTTATACCTTTGCATACGTAAATTCTTTGTTGGATAATTTATATATGACGTGAGCAGCGGTAGCTCTAACAATATACGCAGAACCCTAACGGTCACGGATAACTCAGTGAAGAAGGATACAAAACATTACACATGGTTGAGTAGTAGAATGTGGCAAGAGCTTTCAAATCTCTCCCATGACGCCGCATTACGGTAAGGCATCTCGGTATGGCGATACCTCGAGACCCTTGCTTCGGTAAGCACCCGC